GGTTGTAAACATTTCTATGATATGCAAATAGGGTATATAACTCCTTTATGAGTTCTTAGAAGTTCATAATCTTTATTTTTTTGTACAAACAAAGGTCTGTTTGTTAGTAAAGCAATTAACAGACTAAAATGCCCTTATGTATTTGAAAAAAAAGAAGGAAAATGACCAAAGTACCCTAACCAAAAGAGAGAGAAAGGTATAAGGGCATTTTGGGGAGACTAAAAGGCAGTTTAGGGAATTTGTTACTTAAAATAGGTATGTGTAACACACGTGATCACTTAAATGTGATTTTCAAACATATTATACGAATTAAGTAATTATTTGTCCATTTTTTAAAAACTTTACAGACTTATATGCCCAAAATAAAAATTAGAAGTGTTATTTGCCCAAATTTTAAATATTAAGGGTGTTTTTCTTACTTTACCCTAATAATAATAAATGACAAGCTTGGCGTAATGGGTTCCAAACTAAAAATAAATATAAATTAATTATTTTATTTTATTTTATTTTATTTTTGATACGTATAGAATAAGTATAAACTATTTTCAATCTGAATGTGACAAATCACCGAAGTTTTGTTTCTTGCGATTTCTGATATCCTTACTCAAATGTGATTGCTTGTGTTTTAAAATATTTATATACAGGCATACAGCATATATTCAGATTATAGTATTGTATTGCTATTTGACTGAAATGACATGTACAGTACAATTAAATCTGGTTAATTTACCTAGAGGAATGAAGTTTGTACCATGTAAACCCCCGAGTCTTAGTGGTTCTAATATCATGTCAAGAAAGAATTGTTTGAACCAAATTGTTTAATTGAAAATGTAAGTAACATCTAGAAGAACTTCACCATATAGGCAAGGCATACATATTTTATTTAACGTTTACGTACTGTTTCTCCAAGTAAAATGTAATATAATTTCTAAGCACTTCAACATCATGAAGAATTTATTTTACATGTCAAGACAAGTGCAGTTTTATACTTTTATGCTCTTCCTCCAATGGGGGATACAAAGGAGTGTGTGTGTTTTCTATGTGTAAGAGTAAGTGAACATGTCTTTGTCATATCTGCCCTTCCATTATCTTTGTATCTATACTGATTAGCTGGAACGTTAGGTTGTTTGTATCTTGGTCAAGAATGATAATTAATTCATTTTGATTATTTGTTTGCAAGAGTGTCACACGTAATCTAGAAAGTACTTTGCCTAATTTTGATTATTGATCGGAGGCGAAACACTAACACACCTTGTTTACTTTAATATTTAATAATCTAGTATAATAAGGATCATTTGTCTCACATCAAATTCAGATAGAAAAATGATTGGATATAAATAAATGGGTATATAACACTATCCAATAATTTGAACTTTTGGGTAAATGGACAAGCATTCACCCATTACAGTTGGTATCAAAATCAGATCCAATCCTTGATCAAATGTCACGCCAAGCGCCGGCCCAGAAAGCGTCCGGATGAACACCCTGGGTAGGCAGGGTTGTTTGAGCTGCAATTAGGGCGTTGCGAGTTTGGGTAAGAGAGAATTAACAAGGATTATTTATCCCACATCGGATCTGAATGAAAAAGTGATTAAGTATAAATAGATCGATATGCAGCACCACCCAACATGTTGAAATTTTAAATAAATAGACAAATGCTCACCCATTACATGATAAATTTATAAGTTTTTTTTTTTTTTTTTTGTTCCGTCAACTTTAAGATTTCTTAGTTAATTTTTTGAGAGTTGTTATTTAATATTGCGATTGTCGCATTTTAACTGTTGAATAGTATTGGTAGAAAAACTGGACCCAAACTTAGATGTAATAGACACTCTCTAAGTAACTGTCACCAGCATTAATCAATTTGATTACCAAGTCGTCTAAGGCTAAAACTAACACATGCAATTCAATAATGGAGATGTTGTTTAGTTTACAAACCCAAATTGATCGACTTGCTATTTGCCAGTCATTTCTCACGACATATTTTATCAAGCATTTATTATGAAATAGTGGAGCATATTGCTAATAGTACGACAAAGGAGTGTGTGTGTTTTCTGTGTGTAAGAGTAAGTGAACATGTCTTTGTCATATCTGCCCTTCCATTTCCTTTGTATCTATACTGATTAGCTGGAACGTTAGGTTGTTTGTATCTTGGTCAAGAATGATAATTAATTCATTTTGATTACTTGTTTGCAAGAGTGTCACACGTAATCTAGAACGTACTTCGCCTAATTTTGATTATTGTTCGGACGCGATACACTAACACACCCTATTTACTTTAATATTTAATAATTTAGTATAATAAGAGTTATTTGTTTCACATTAAATTCAAATGAAAAGTGATCGAGTATAAACGAATGGATATGTAATACTATCTAATAATTTAAACTTTTGGATAAATAGACAAGCACTCACCCGTTATAGTTGGTATCAGAATCAGACCTAATCCTTGATCCGATGTCATGCCAAGCGCGGACCCAGAAGGCGTTTGGGTGAACACCCCAGGCAAGCAGGATGCCTGAGCTGCAATGAGGGCGTTGCGAGTTTGGATAGGGGAGAATTAACGAGGGTCATTTGTCCCTCATAGGATCCGAATCGAAAAGTGATTAGGTATAAATAGATTGGTATTCAGTATTACCCAATATGTTAAAATTTTAAATAAATAGACAAACGCCCACTTATTACATTATAAATTTATAAGTTGAATTTTTTTTTTTTTTTAGTCAATTTTAAGATTTCTTAGTTAATTTTTTGAGAGTAGTTATTTAATATTGCGATTGTCGCATTTTAACTGTTAAATAGTACTGGTAGAAAAACTGGACCCAAACTTAGATGTAATAGACACTCTATAAGTAACTGTCACTGGCATTAATCAATTTGATTACTAAATCGTCTAAGGCTAAAACTAACACATGCAATTCAATAATGGAGATGTCGTTTAGTTTACAAACCCAAATTGATCGACTTGCTATTTGCCAGTCATATCTCACGACATATTTAATCAAGCATTTATTAAGAAATAGTGGAGCATATTGCTAATAGTACGATAATTTGTAATCCATTTGCTGTCCAACTGTTTTACATTATATTCTACCATATTCTTCTGTAAGAGTATTGAATTTCATTCATTTTCAATTAATTTTTGTAGATGTATATAATTCTGCCTATTGTTTCTCCAAAGAAATCATCTTTAGATACTAACAATAAAATTAAAAAATATATAAATGTTTTTAAATACTCCATAATCGTTTCTTATAGTTCTTTGAAAATTGGTTTTAAAAAAAAAATCTCATAAATATAAATTTAGAAAACTGAATCAACTTTGTTTGACAATGAGAATGGTAATCAATCTCTTTATTAGACATGAAATTTTTTGAGAATGGCAGTCATATTGTCAAATATTGTTGGAACTATAACTTATAATAATTTTTTTTTTTTCCCCTCTTAGAATACATATATCGACCCCACAACACACGCACCATTTAAGTCAGGAGTGCAGTTTAAAAGCGAGACGTCAAAAACTTACCTCTTGAATCTCTGCCAACGCTACCGCTATGCCCTTGGGTAACTTATAATAATGTTATGCCTAATAATTTTAAATTGAAACATATTACATTTAAATAACAATCCTATATACACTCCCAAAAAATTGTGTATTTTCAAAATTAACAAAAAATGATTTTATTTTTCCAACATATATATATATCACATCTTTTAGGTATGTAGTACATATATATATTTATATGAATTATTTGAAAACAAATCTTGTCACTATATATATCAAATCTCAACAAGATCGTCATGCCACAAATCTTGAAAAATCTACGTGGTCCCATGTTAATGTGGCTCAAAGTTGATATGTCCATTCTATAGAATATTGTTCAATATTAATTCGACTTCTCTTTGTCATTCAAGCTAGCTAGGCACGGCAAATACCATAGAATATGCCTCTTTTTCTCTCTATATATACATATAAGGTGGGAAAGGATTGCTAAGATTCCGTGTAGATAAAGTAAGCAAAATGTGTTTATGTTTCTTGATTTGAAGTTTGAACTTATATATGTATATGACCTTCCAATACAGTATAATATATATATGTGTGTGTGTGTGTGTATTGTCGCGGGTCAAAAGTCTAGCAACCTGTAGGTGTAAGGGCCAAACAAGGTCAAATTATCTAATTTTGTGGTTATGTTTGGTTGTCTCCTTCCTCCCCGATATGTTTAGGTCAGTAGGTGTCTGTTGCTTTTAATGAAGCAGTACTGCAAGTTAAAGTACTACAAAGAAGGAGAAACATAAAAAAATAAAAAAAAAATATGACTTGAGTGCTAGCTGCTTTGCAATTGCATGCATCAGAATTAAATTATTTATATATTTGTGTTGTATGAGTTATTATTTGTATAATGACAGATATTTGAATTCAAAACATATGAATTTGAATCTCACAACAATCAATTTGAAGTTTAAACAAAATATAGCAGATCGAAGTGTCTCTTTGATTTAGTTTTTTAAGAACAGTTCTCAAAATCTCATTAGACTGTTTCAGAAATTGTCAAAAAATCAAACATTTGTAATTTTATTTTTATTTTCAAATCTCAAAAAACAGAAAATTGTTATAAGAAAACTGAACCAAAAAACACCAATACGTCTCTAATCTTCTCTCTCAACTGACGTGCAGCTAGAAAAAGTCATGATGCATGTATATTGGATTTTAGCTGGGGCACGCAATTCTCAAAATTGAAATGCCAACCACCAAGTAAAAGACATTCTTTAAAATAATAGCAATGACATGTTGACTTATGATTATGATTATCATTGATACTGCATAAGTCACTAATTATATATTTAACTATATATCACAATAACCATAAACAAATAAACCAAAGTTAATTACCTTCAAATCTAAAAGTTGCTTTTAACATTACAATAGTGATTCATGAAAAGTGATGGCATGTTTGTATTATTATATGTAAATTAATATACACTTTAAGGCCATGACTCCAACAGCAAGGCTTCAAAGATTTAACTACACAAAGTCAGGTAGTACCTTCATATATATACACATTTATAAATACTTTAATTTGTAAATATATGCTCAAAGAGCTAGTGATGTCCTTCTCATGGCCAACCCTCACAATCAAGCAAGGATGACAAGAACCCTAGATCTACAGTAACATTGTTGTCGAGACAATCATCCGTGACCCATTCCTTGAATATTGGTTCATCAAAAGGCAACGAATAGTTCCAATCCATGGCCAAACCATTAGTAGCACTGCTTGCTCGAAGCTCATCTAAGCCGGTATCCAAGAAATTATTCGAGTTGCATGAATGGGGAAAGTGCAGGCCTTCGGTTCCATAATCGTTGTTTAAACTGTTTGCAGTGTGGCTAATTTGATGACCGTGAAGCTCTGATGAATTTATGGCAGCTGAGTTTATGGAGTAGTTGTCATTTGGACTTGGGATTGCTGGGATAAGGACTTTGGTGCACCTTGTGGCCTTGGTTCGGATTGCTTGTGCTTGAGTGGCGGTTGGTGACTTGATCATGGTACACTGTTTGGATGGTTGCGAAGATGTTTGAGCTCCAACTTTTTTTCCTAGAGTTGTGTTCCAGTAGTTTTTGATTTCATTGTCTGTTCGGCCCGGAAGCCTTCCAGCTATTAAAGACCATCTGTATAACATAAAAATGAATAAATACGTAAAAGTCTACGTAAAATATGCACACACTCACAATATTGTCCCCTAAACGTACTCGAATGCTAATGATGATCGAGACATTCGTGAAAGGTCGTGTTTTCAAGTTGTGAAGGGTACCAACCTGTTACCAAGAAGCTTGTGGAGTCTGATAATGAGCTCCTCTTCATCATGAGATATGTTTCCTCTCTTGATGTCTGGTCTAAGATAATTCAACCATCTAAGTCTACAACTCTTACCACATCGCTTCAGACCTGTAAAATTATATATTTCAAAGCTCATATATTTCATCAATCCATGTCTTATCAACATACGTCAAGAGAACACTTAATTAAAATGCCTCCTTCTATTATGGGTTTTTCAGTAAACAGACAAAAAGACACAGTAGAACTGCTAAAGAGAATGGGAAATAATCAAAACATATATATATATATATATATATATATGTTGGTCAAAGTATATATATATATATATATAATGCTAAGATTGATGTACCAGCTCTCTTGGGGAGGTTTCTCCAATTTCCCTCTCCATGGGCTTTGATGTAAGCTGTAAGTATTTTATCTTCTATGGCAGTCCAGGCTCCTCTGTTGAGGCCTTCCTTGGAGCAACATGGACTCCTCCCCATCTCTCTCTCTCTCTCTCTCTCTCTCTCTCTCTCTGTGTGTGTGTGTGTGTGTGTGTGTGAGATATTGAAATGGTGTCAATGACCCTTTATAGCAACACAATCAAGAATTAATGGAGGTGAAATAGAAATTCAAATGAACTAAAACTCTGGATTTTTTTAGTTAGGCCGGCAATGATTAATAAAGAAAATAAAGTCAAACAAAACATCTATTATTTCAAAAAATGTAGATGGACTTGTATTTTATGCTTTGAAAAAGTAACACCATTGATGTAGCTTTCATATGATCTAATAATGTAGTACAACTGGGGAATTACACTGTTAAGTAATTTAAAAGTGGTCAGTATATATTTTAAACCCTGATGTAATGTACCATTACATATGCGTGATTATAGGTGACATTGACAATCTAGCTAGCTTATTAGTAATTTTAACTTATAATTCGTGCGACTAAAATGTGTTTCTCATCGGGAATATGTTTGCTCCCGGTAATTATGGCTTTTTGGAAGATACCGATGACCTCATCTTTGATGCACGACTAGTCTAGTACATTTGAGATGAGAAATTAATCGCGGTGCACTCAATAATAATAATAGAGCTTTAATACAGTGCAAAGGCTGTTTTATTGTAATTTGGAGGTTACGAGTTCAAAATAAAAATATATTTGCATAAAAAAACCGCATATATATGATATTTCTTAAACAGTAATGAAAGTCTCCTGCATTCCACTATGTCAAACCACTCGGATTGGTTGAGCATCTTCACATGAAATTGTAATTCATTTTGTTTAGTACTTGCCGTGTGCGTGTATTTTTATCGGATACTCACTTGAGATTCAAAATTTTCAAGTAGAAAATTCAACTTCTACGAATCAATGACCAGAAGGGTTTAAATTATAATTAAATCTTTGGTCACTCTCTAAGCACATAGTCCGAACTTTTAGCAACAAAGTAAATATTATAATTATGGTCTATGAGATATACCTAATCTTTATTTTATTGGTAAATTGTCCAATCACTAGATCATAAAAGTTCATACTGTACTTCTGGGAATACTTGGAAGATAATTTTATTTTATCATGGATTCCCATTATAGTACTATTCATATTCTGTTATTATAATGACCTGTCTCTCTCTCTCTCCACACACACACACACACACACACACGTAGTTCTAAATCAAAATATTTTGCTTCCCTATATGCGTATCACAGTATCATAATAATGGCATTATTGCTCTCCAAGTTGATCTATGCCGTTGCTCTTCAAGCTATTTATTTAAAAATAAAAGAAGAATTATGTTGAATGAGTCCAATATATAACTTACAGCATGGTTAAGACTAGATTCAGATTCACTTTTTAATTTGGTGTCACGATAAGATAGTTTATGTTTGTGTGCGAAGGCGTATCACAAATTCAGGTGAAAATAGTAATGGTGTATATATGAATTGAATGTTAGCATCATTTAATAACTTAAACTTTTGTTTTTAGGGACATAACGGTGTAGACAGAGATTCGGAAGATAAGTCTTTGACGTTTTACTTTTAAACCATTCCTAACTTGAATGGTGCATATATTGTGGGGTGCTTTAAGAAAAAAATAATAATAATAATAAAATAACTTAACACGTTGCAGTCATGAGTTGTGATTAAAAATAAAAAATAAAATTGAAAGGGTTCTACTTCACTAAAAAAAAAAAAAAAAAAAAAAGAAAAAAAAGAAAGAAGAGTAATGCTATGATAGATTTTTGTAGTTATACCAATACTGACCTATTTTTATATCAAATCCGTTATGTATTGTGTTGTGCGTGCATATTTTTTAAGAATTTTAAATAAAAACGGAACCAATTTTCTTTAGTATACTCTGTACCATTCTCTAACCTGAAAAACTTCATTTTGACGGAGGAATCACCATATTAAGAAAATCTTTAAAAACAGAGTAACCGTGTTATGAAATATTTTTTTATTTTTATTTGAGCAAGTATATCGACCATATATAAATAAGACAAAGTATATATATTCATCATATTATGAATAGGAGTAAGACCCATAAATAAGAATGAATGAGTACAAAAAGACTCGGAAGACAGACTTTTGATTCCCAAAAGACCTAGTAGACTCCGGACAAAGACAAAACGAGGGCAACTATTAGCTGGTGGGATTGCCCTCTTTTTATATACTAAAGAATTCAAATATGATTTTCTTTGTCAACTTTCAAGTCCTTTTCAGTCTTTTCTTAAAGGGGACTGTGTGTGTGTGTGTATATATAACTGAATGGACTGTATAATTTTTTAATTTGGAAATGGCCACAAAGGCAGGCAATCTAAACATTAGTGATTGGTGTTATGAGCAGGGATGGCAATAGGGCAGGGTGGGAGTAGGGGCGGGATCTCCTTTTTCATCTTTATCCTCGGCCAATTTTTTATTCCTATTCTTGCTCCCGTACTTGTTTAATTTTCAACTCCCTCCCCCATTCCCGTCCCCGCCCCGCCCCGCCCCGTCCCGCCTCAGTCCCCGCCCAGCATAACATTTTTTAAATTCCAATTCACCTTCAACAAAATCAACACAACCATAATATTTTTCAACCTAATAATTTAATAAAGATTCAACACAACTATAACAATTTAAAACATGATCAGATGTTTGATGCACAACAACTATGTTTTTTTTTTTATACTGCGAGGGAATAGTTCTAGGGTTTAACTTTCAGAAGTAAATATATTATATATATAGTTATATAGTTTAGTAATATTTTATAACTTGTAAAGGCAATTTTGTAAAAATGCACTATAAACAGGGCGGGGCAGGATTATCCTCCCTCCGCCCCCTGTCAGGGTTTCAAATACAATCTCCATCCCTTCCCCATTTACATAAAATGGGTCCCCAAATCCTCCATAAACAGGGCGGGGTGGGGCGGGGACTCACCGGGTATAGGGATTTTGTCATCCCTAATTATGAGACAAAATTTTAGAATGCATGCCTATTTTTTTTTTTTTTTTTTTTTAATCCGTGAGATGAGATTCTCCACCTAATATATTACTATATTCAATAGTAATTCATATATTGTAATCCTTTTCCTGTATTTATACCTATTATTATTAGCTTATCTATCTTCATCTTAAATTTATTTTTAAGAGCATTGTAGATTTTGGAGTTCAATTTATTCTTTTTCTTTAAAAGAATAACTTTTATTGGATTTGAATTTTAGTCCATCCTTTGTAATTAGAAAGATATTCTATTTAAATTTAATTTCTTTCTCACTATTTACAACATGCTAGTTCATTAAAAACTTCACTTTCTTTTTTTTTTTCGAAAAAGTTGAAGCAAACACTCGCCCCACTACATTATTTTTGCCCCCAACTCGTACCAAAACACTCAACCAGTAATATTAAGTCAACCAATCTCTAATTTGAATATATTTTTATGGGGTTCGATGCTCTCACACCTCATCAGGTTTGATTTTATTGCTCTTATATTAAACTTCAGTCAAAATTGCCCTGACACCCTTTTTCATAGTATAAGAAAGTAATTTTACTATTATACCCTTAACTTTATTTTACTCTTAAATTTTGTCAATATTACCCCTAGACTCTTGAGCGCTCTCTCTCCGTCGACTGTAACCCCACACCATCACCACCACTGCTACCACTAACACCACCGAAACCATTAGATCCCATGAGCATTAACACCACAACTGCCATGGGTTCAGACACCTCCACCCTATCCATTAACACAACAAAAATCCCCAAACCATCAATGACCTAATACTCTATATAAACTCAAAACCATCTTCCATCCAAACCAACTATCTTCCCCACCGACGAGCTTCATTTAGATCCACCATTTCCGGCGAATACAGAGAGCTTCACTTTGATCAACAACTCCGGCGAGCCTTGTGCAGATCCAACGCCAGCGACGACCCACCATATATCGTGGCCGCGGAGTGCCGCACCACCATCGCGATCGTATCGTGACAGTGGAGCGTATTGCCGTTGTGAATCTATCTTCCCTCACCACCACGTCGTTGCGACCGTGGCTGTGGCGAGCCTCGTCCAGACCCAAAATGTGTTGCTGTGTCCAGAACCGAGACTTCAAATACGTCAGCTATGGAAGATTCCAGTGGGTTTGACGGCGAAATGGGTTTCGTTTCACTGGTGAGAATTCTGGTGTGGTCAGCAAAGAGATGGCGTGGGACATCAATTTTATTAGTTTTCGTTGTGGTTATGGTGGTTGTCATGACCGTTCCATATTACCCAGCACCGAAACCAACACTCTCTTCACCACCACCGGCGAATGCAAACAGCTTCAGTCCGGGGAGCTTTACTCTCTCTCAGATCGCTCTCGACTCTAACCCCTCTGTAAGGGTATATTGGGACGCTTGGTTCTGTTGTGCTTTTAATCAACTACGTATATATAAATAAACAATCACAAAAACACCCATTTTCATTTCTAAAATAAATTGATTTAGTAATTAATTTATCATGTTCATTGCCATACTCTCTCTCTCAATTGTGTATGTTATTAGGCATTTTGCTTCCAATTAATTTTTACTACCATTATTGGTCATTGATACCAAAACATAGTGAGAGAAACATAACCGAAAAAGAACACAGTAAGAACAAGACCCATTCTCGGCAACTATAGTGAACGGAAAAAACTAAATTGATAATGCTCAAATGACATGCTCAGACAACGTGGCTTCCGTCCTCGGCGCTGCGAGAGGAATGTGGTCGAGCTCGGAACAATGGGTCTTTAGACTGTCATCCTTCCTTGCCGCAACAGGTTTTAGTCGGCAATTTTCATGGTGAAGGTTGAGCTTTAGAATGCAACAAGCTCTTGCCGAAACTGGATTAGTGATGGTCGCCGGAACTGAGAACAATGATGGTCTTGAAGGTTAGAGAAGCGTAAAACATGTGAGGTGTATAAAAGTCTTAACATTATAAGGGCAAAAATGTCATTAAAATAATGAAGGTTAATTTAAGTATTTTATTTTATTAATTTAAATAAGGGGCGTCAAAGCAAGTTAAACCAAAC